AGTGGTGTTGAGAACACTGCAACCTCCGAGTGGACGAAGATGAATGCAGTGAACAAGGTACTTGAGGTTTTTGTGACTTCGACTGGGTCCAAATTCCACCTTGACCGTCAATGCCAATACTTGCGAGGCAAGAAAGTCACCTCTTTTGGTTTGTGTAGCTGCTGTGAGCGCAAGCGCTTACTGGAACAGCGAGTGACCACTGTCCAAAGTGGCATGTGAGCTTCGAAAGGGGGTGTGAGAATTTATAGTACTGAGGAGCGAAGACTCCATACCACTTGTTTAGAGACCGCAAAGAAAGCCATAGAGAGTTTTTGGCTTGTTTGAATGACGTTCGTTAGCTTTTGAGGACATTGAAAGATCCCTTTCAATGTTTCCCTATGCTTGTAGTTTGTGTATGAGGTGTCCGAGAACACCCAAAGATGTTTAGACTATGCTCTTAGTTGTTTCCAACTGTTTTTAGAACCTTTGTGAAGCGTAGAACTGTTTTGAGTATGGTTTTGCATGTCCACAAACGTCCCGAGAACATTTGTGAACCTTGGAGAACGTTCGTCACTTTGGCTCAAGTGTGCGGCGAAAAGTGTGCGTGTCTTTTGCCTGCTTTTTCTTCCGTTTTCGACTCGGGTCGTTGAGACACTTGACTGACTAGGTGTTTTGAGCACGAGAGCTTTTGATTTTCCGTCAGGAGTTTGTGTGTCAAACTTTCACGGTTTCCACCAGGACAACAGCCGGCTCGGCGCATGTGGCAAAATTGCTGATCAGATCTATTGAAGATCATGCTCCAATCCCCTTGCAGATATCCCCCAACAGTACTGGGTTGAGTGCAGCGGATGCTTTTGCAACGGACTCAACAGCTGGGATTGGCGGATGGTGGCTGCCCACGCATTGTCGAATGTTTGCCTGGGTGGTTCAAAGCGAGCAATGGCCCATCTTTGCAGAAGTGTATCGCAGCATTGGAAGCTCTTGCCCAATTGGTGCTTCTTTTGCTTCAAGTGCAGCAAGCAGATGTGGTGGCCAAGCATGTTGTTCTTCAGTTTTCGCAATTGTGTGATAATGCTGGTGTGACAGCGGCTTCGGCCAAGATGCTTTCGCAGAGCGAACCGTTGTGTTGGGCGCTGCAATGTTTAGGCTATTACTGCTGCAAGCACAGCGTCTCTTTGAGCTTGAGTCACATCGCTGGGATTCGCAATACATGGGCTGATACTCTCAGTCGTGGCGACATGCCATCTGGATTCTTGCCGCAAAACAGAATCTTGTTGGGGATGATTTGTCAGTTGCTGCCATTTTGCAACAGCCCTGGCGTTAGTTTGCATGCGACCACCTTCGGTTGGGGATTAGAAAGGATTGTGGTCTTTGCAATGTTGGCGCACCCTTCGGTTTGGGCTGTGTGGGCCATGCCACCCTGGAGGTGCCATCTGGGGTGGCCATGG